ACCATACCACTAATTAATGAGTGAAATCCAAGTACCACAACAGAACTGTACTTTCCATTTTCAGTGCTCTTACGTTCCAACACTGTTTGGAAGACATGGTAAAACAATAAAATCACGAAACATTTGACACAAAAATGGGAGGTTTAAATCTAAAAATAAATATTCTACATTGAATACTCTGATGAGCTGTAATTACAAAACATCATACCATAAAAGACATACTAAGTACTGCTCCAAACATAGATACACCTTATTATGAAACACATAGCAATTATTATGAAACACTGGTAGTTAAACATTCATTATGGAAGGATTGTTATGAAATAGAAATCTTCTTAATAAGACACTCTAGGTGGAACCTATTAATTTAGTGGCATACAGTCCAACAGTTTCACAACACCAGGACTGAAAAATACATCATCAGCTGTGCAATACCTAACTTACAATCTGTACTGAAAATACATAGTCAGCACTATGCTGCAAAGTCCTCTTCACTATCACACTTCAGTTAGCAGTATCTCCCATTACATGACAGATACATTTTGTGAATTATATTCTCAAAACGCTGTTTTACTTTTGAATAATGTTCTTTTCTTTTTATTATTCAGCAGATTACATTTTTAACTTAGACATATTTCCCTATATGAACTACAGTGTTAGAAAATGCTATCACATACTATTAATTCATTCTGCATTATGAATAAAATCTGTAGATCGTCTTACATAATCCTAGATTTTTTTGTTTCTAAATGTGTTATCAATACTTGATTATACATGTTAAGACGTATTGACAATCTCTAGATCTGAAGGCTGATATAAACTATATAAACTTAGGCATGAAAAAGGTATTTTATACCACCCTACAAAAAACCAAACTCCTCTGCTCAGTATAAAACATATTTCATATTGCTTTACAATGAAGATAATAAGGAATTTATAGTGCTAGTCACAAAAACAGACAAGTTAAAAAAGTTCAGCAATACTGGTCTACTATGTGGTGCTTCTGTTCAAAAATAAACATTTTTTCCAGTTCTGCTAGTGAGATCAAGTGACTGAATAGCTTAATAAAAAAAGGTCTAAAGAAAAAGTATCTTTCCTACAAAAATATGACAAGACATATTTTCAAAGAATAAGTAAGAACTCAGCCATACAACTCCTACTAACATTACTGGGAGCTGCCTGTCAAAAGCACTGTGCATCATGCTGAAAATGTCCTTCAGTGATAACAATAAGGTTAAAACTTCTGGACATACACATAAATATCTTACATGAGGTGTTTCACAAGATGACATTTGTGATTTATGCTCAGCTGTGCTTTCAGAATGACCTGTATCACAGGAACACCTCAGAAATTAGTTTACTCTCTGGTTATACAGTCCACCAAAATCTACTGTTCTTTCAAGAAACTTTCAACATAAGTCTGTCTCTTTAAAGCAGACTTTTAAAGAAGGCACACAAATGAAGTTATTCATTACAGAATATGTTTCAATGTTATCTATATCACTTCAATACCTCATGTAATTTATGTACATGTGATCTTGCTAAATTACTTTTAAACCAGTTTCTAAAAATATTACCTCTCCCCTTAGTAGAGGAATGATACAACTTCTCCAACATTAAGCAGATAGTATCAAAGAAAGATGGAGAACCCTGATATCAACTACGGCATAATAGGAAAAGAAAAATATGAAGATCCTACTGTGTACCACAGAATGAAATAATAAAAATCTTGGGGCTGAAGTGAGATTACATTATCAAGTCAAACATATGCTTCTAAAAATCATTGCTATAGACAAAAAAAAGAATCTTATTAAAGGGATAAAAGCCAGCATAGTTTATATGTATTTGATTTTAAAAATATTTAAAAGTGACTACTAGGAGGAATCTGCAAAAAAGATTATATTTACACCCCTGGGAATCGCTAATTTACTGTTTGAACTGTGTGTTCTAGCACACAATTTAAAAACTTAATATTGTTATCCTACTTCTAAGATACTAATCTACAGAAAGTAACTTGTTTTGTAAGAGGTAGAGGCCCAATTTGGACATCTAGGATTAACATGGGCAGCTAAGTACTCAATTTGAGATTAAGCACCATAGCATCAAATGAAATCAGGCTAACAAAGCAAAATATGTCAACCGCTGTCTTTCTAAACACAGCACAATGGAGAAAAGACATTTCGTAAAATTTCTAGTGTCTCTAAATTTGTAAATAAAAGGAGAAAGCTAGCTAGCATACTCAAGACTTAGTGACATAACAAACTGGAAACTTAGTATGGCAGTGGAGAAAATTAATAGTGAGAACCCTCATCATTAATTATTCTTCTGTACATCATGAAGTTAAAATATGAGTATGAAAGTAAGAAAATTTTTGTGACTTTTGACAATTATTAGTATGAAAAAGATTATAACAATTGCCAAAAAAATCACAAAAGTTGACATGTTACCTGGCTATGACAAAGAGCACACAACTGACACCCAAGTAAGCCAGCAGAATATACATCCAGATATCAGGGGAGAGAGGATTCAGGAAGGAGAAGACGCCCGGGTTTGTACCATTGGGCTTGCGGTACAAAATACTTATTCCAAGAGTCATAAAGGGTTTGGAAAAGTCGATGACCTTCTCTCGAACATAGGTAATTGCCAATGGTGCAACTGCAAGGTCAGCTTTCTGTTAACAAAAATACAAAAACAGAAACAGGCCGTAAGTCAGAAGAAACAGGTTGAAGCAGACAATCAGATTAGGCAAAACACAAACTTTACATGGAGGAGGTTTGTTCTCGTCCTAGGTAGGCTGAAATTTAAAACTCTCTTCTCCCTATAAGTAAGGAAACCAATTTATTCTACTTCCTGTTTGCTAAACTGACATAGTAGCATTTAGAGAAAATTAAAAGCGCTATTACAGGGATAGAAGCAAAGAAAAATATCGTATCTTGCAGAAAACATGAACATCCATTACCATGTTTTTTAAAACTTTAAAAGGTACATATCAACATATGTCTTCTCTTTGTCACTCCTTCATTGTGCTCTTTAGAAGCTAATATATTTGTGAAGCAGATGTGAATATGCTTGTACAAGTGTAAAGGAAGCAGTTTTGCTTATTTTATCATAAAAGTATTGGTACAAAATGAAGAACATTTTTAAATGGGAAATGTCACACCTGACAGGTTGCTACAGGGAGTAAGTTCTAAAAAAGTACAACTGTCTTACTAGTTTGCAGAAATCACTATGAAACTTGTAGATAACTGACTATTAATCAATTGCAGCATTTAAAATGAAATAATACAATAGAATGTATTGTCAATTTACATTTAGTTTTAGTTATTATGGCAATAATTCATAGGAAATTAGTAAATGGTCTATACTGTTTTTTATTCAAAACAATAGAAATCATAGTGACAAGAAATCTACAGCATCTACTTTTTAATCTGTGTGAACAGCTCTTGAAAGACTACTATACATGTGTGTATGTGTATATGGGTGTGATGTACATGTGCACGTATGAAAGAGGGAAGTTCAGAGTGAAAAGTTGTACAGAACAAAACTTGACAAGCTGTAAACTAAGAATTCCTTGTAAACTATATGTAAATATAAGTAAGTAATGACAGAAATGATATAGCTACCATGAAATACTGTTATCCAAGTAACAGAGCTGCAAATAACATCATTTTCAGAATGCCTGTTCTAAACCAAGATCCAGAGATCTTATTCCCAATAAAATCATATAAATTCATACATTTATATATTTTATTTTGCTCAGTTGGTGTTGTGTATACTGTGTAACACTCAAAATCCCACACAATGTTATAGCATTTCAATGTTCGGGTTTTTTTGTTGTCTCACCTTCCACAAAGTTCTACTATAGTCTGTTGTTGATATGAGCATTTATCATATAATTAGATCTACTCTAGTAAAGTACTTCTATGTTACAATGTGAAACTCTGTTGGCATTGTTCATTTAATTTGGTAAGGGTTTACTGGTCAAAAACATGACATATGCTTCATTTCGATTGGTAGTCAGAACTTATAGGTATTAATCAGACCAGTAAGGTTTTATTCCACAGCAGCTGAGTTTTTATGGATCGCATATTATTGATGATATTCCATCTGATGCAGAAAGAAAACAGTAAAGTGAGAAACTAAAACTAATTTGGATTAAAAGTTACAGGTTAACATGTAGAAGTTTGAGAAACAACAACTCAAGCTATTAGTTTGAGAGGCAACTAGCAGTCCTTACCCTAAGAGTCTGAAGCCAACTCACTAGACTGTCAAAAGATGCAGCTGCCCAAAGATAGAGAAAATAGGTCTTTTGGAAGGCTATTGGCAATTGTGAATTTTGGTCTTAAAATATTAACAGAGCCTTAATGAATAACAAATCATTTATTTTAACAAATGCTATAGGAAATCCAACCCTTAGTCATTAGATGAGAACAAAATGGTATACAAGTGAATATAGGCTGTAACTATCTCCAGTGGAGCAAAGCTCTAGGGAAGTTGCAGATGAAATTAAGAAGATAACCAAACAAGAAATAATGCATGTCTCGTATGACAGAATAGAACAATCAGATATCCCGACCTGGGAGGCACAGATCCAAAATATAGATCCATATCTTGATATCTCAGGTTTTTCTTCTGAGCTTTAGTAACTCGGTTTCAATATTCTTGAACTAGTCTATCACCATAAGAACAAAAATTAAGCATCTCAACAAAAATAATATTCAGAGTCTTTACTGACTGAGGAAACAAAAAGCTGCTAGAATGACTGACATAAAAATATAATACTGCCACATGTAACCACTTTTGCTAATTAAATATATGTTCTCCAAAATATACAATTCTCTTGGCAATTGTTTCATTCTGAAATGGCACTACTTGAAAGTAAGAGAAATAAGGAGCCAAGTTTCCAGAATTGCAGTACCACGGTCTCCTACACTCTTCTACAATGAAGACATAAAAGTAAGAGAATTCTCTTTAGCTAATTTCTCAGGAGGAATTGGAGAGGAATGATGTAAAATTAGGATTTTATCAATCTATATTTATCAACATTTAAAAATGAATACATCTTAAAATGGTTTTCTGATAAGTTCCATAACAAAGAATATTTGTCTCACTTGGCAATGATGTATGATTCCATTTTTTAGAATGAATGTATGTATGATTCTATTTTTTAAAGGAAAAAAAAGATTTATCTCTCTGAAAGCATGATCCTAAATAACACTTATTCTTGACCTTAGAGTACTTGAGATGAAGGTGTTTTTATGACAGCATCCAAGGACTGGTGAGGATAAGCTAGTTGCTACAAAGAAAAATTCTGCGCCAACTGAAGGTTACAATAGCAATTAGAAACATGTAAATCTGACAAAGATATTCCAACACATGACGTGGTCCCGAGTAAAATGGAAGAGTTGTACAGCAACACAAGCAATAGCCATACCATGTGATGAAGGAGCGCACTGCAGACAATAATGCCAACAGTAGATGGCAGAGACTGGAGGAAAATACTCCTCACAATAAATTCTTACTTTAAGTATGTCAAGTGTGAGGAAACCGCAATCCTGCATTCACTCCACCATTCAAAGATATGGCATGATAAACTGGAGAACGGCACTCACATTCTGCATCCATCTTGACAGTTTTTCAAAGAGAGGTTCTCTAGCAAGGAAGAGAATGTCCAGGACAAAAGAGGAAGAAATAGAATTTATCATACTCTACAGGACACTTTTCAAAGTCAACTGAACCACTGACAGTTATTCCTACCCTGCTTTCTCAAAGTGCATCAGATACTTTGAACATTACTTTTAACAGTACATTCTCAGTAGTACTTGATCTTCCATCTTCACCCTCCACCTTACAGGGCAATGATATTTTCTTCTTTCATACTAGTAGTATATGCACTCTCACTATGGTCTACGTTCTACATTACTGCAGAACTCTGTAAGCAGCGATTGCTAGACCTTCCCTTCTTTTTGTGCCATATAAGGACTGCACATACTCTCTTCACAGCCTTGTAAAGATTTCCCTGTCTTGCTGCTATGTGCAGGTGTAGAATGTTCACTCACCAACAAACAACTCAAGGTATACACAACTCATTTCTGCTACAGAAACCCCGAAGGCATGCTAAAATTCAACTCCTTCAGTTCTTTATTTACATTTTACTTCCAAGCATCTTGTTGACTAACTATTTTACATAAAGTAAAATTTAAAGAAAAAAGGGGGGACTTTTTTTCAGTTGCATAGGGCTGAAATTTGGTACATAACCTCTAAAAAGACAAGTTTTTAAATTATATGGAATTCAATCTATGCATGCAGCTGCAAATAACTTCAGTAAGAAAACTGCACATAAATGTTGAGTAATGCATGGGCCATAGCATGTACAGTAAGTTGGTATTTGCAGATACTGATGTTTTGTGTGTGAAAATTAACTCTATAAAATGTAACCCAGAGAAAGTGCCACATTCATTTTTGGGGAAATTGAACTTTGAAAGCATTTAATATCTTCTACTAATAACATTGGGGAAAAGAAAAATAAACACTTGATGATACTTTTCTGAAAATCTTTTGTCTCACCTATTTTATTCAAAGGAATGAAAGGTTGAAATACAATCTAGACATAGCAACCACAAAATGGCTAAGTTATTTTTAACTAGAGTCTACAGCTACAAAATGTTCCACCATAATAAGGGAGTTATTTAGCCTATGTAGATGGAGTCTGCTTTTTAGCCTAAGACCCTAAGTCAATATGTAAACTTCTTTAGCCACCCCAGATTTTTGGGATTGTTAATCTGAGAGCTGAATTTCAGTTACATCCCCTTTGGAGAAAATGTATCCCTCAGATAAACAGAGGAAGGCTAATGCCCAGCTTCAATTCTTTAAACACATTTAATGGGCTCTTAATACACAGAGAGCTTATGCATTATTCCTGTTCACAGAAGTGCATTTCCCTGTCACTGATTTGAAAAACTAAAAACTGTAGTTTGCCTTTAAGCTTGTGATCTATCTTAAACTGGCTTGTTCATGCTGCTACATTATAGAAAAATTTACACTCTGTGAAAAGCTTTTGGTCTTGACACAAGATCTTAATTTCCTTTTGAAACCACTGGGATTTTATTAGGGCTTTATTATTTTTATTTTAACTAGCCACTTACACTATTTTGATATAAATTGGTTTTCATGTTTTTCTACTACCTTTTATGGGATCATAGGAAAATTCAAGTGGGAAGAGACATCAGGAGGTCTCTAGTCCAATCTCCTGTTCAAAGCAGGGTATATCAGGTTTGCATGGCAAGGTTTTGGCAGCAGAGGGGCTACAAGAGAGGCTTCTGTGAGTAGCTGCTAGAAGCTTCCCCTA